GCATTCCAAAGATTCTTGGACATCCCTGCCCTGTTCCTTTTTTGTTTAATGAAAACATGTATTTTTCCGTTTTAATACACACTAAATAAAAATAAAATTGAAAGCATCGCTCAAAATTCGATGATTAATAAATTGCACTATATTATTGTAGAAACTGTTAAACTCTTCATGTATAAATTTACTGTTTTACTTATAGATTGACAAATGTTATGAATCAATATTAGTTCAAAAGTCTATGCATTTAAAAAAAAAAAATAATTCGTTTCTGAAGTGATGTATTTTTGATAGATGAAACAATAAAATGAAAGACATGAAAATCATAAGTATGTCTCGTTCTAAATGGACATCACACTGAGTACACACATTAAAATTGTATTATATTACGAATATATTTAATTTTATTCTTACCGTCATCCTATGTGAACATAAAAAAATATATGTTTTCATTAAAAACAGGGGGCACCTCCAAATCTTCGAAGTTTGGACAAATGCCATACTATACTTATTTATACAAGTTTTACTATTTACTAACGACGAATATAGAAGAATTACAAATTTTCTTCCTCCTACAAAATGAAAATTGGGGGAAGCAGCTTTGAACTTCGAAAGATATCTTAAATCAGTCACAAATATTGTTTAAATATGGAATACCAAACAATACTACGTTATATTCAAGCTGTTAATATTCATAATATTTTTTTTATTTCTAGGGGAGAAGAAATATAAGAGTGTCATAAGCATGGCAATTCTTATTTAACGGATTATCTGAAAAAATTAAATTATGATTATATAAACGAATTAAAATTTCTTAACAAACTGACTAAGATCCAATGTAATTCGTGTTCATGGGTACAGTGACGCATTATTATCAATAAATTGGTTTATCTTGGAAGTATGTCGAATCGATAAAAGGAATAAAGTTTCAGTCAGAAGTCGAAGCTACAAGGACATTTTAAAGATTCGTACATCGTTTCAAGTGGAATTTATAATTTATTAATCTCAAGAAGAATCACAGTTAGACGACATTTAACATTATCTAAAGTTGGAACATGATCCATGTGGTCTTTTAAAGCCAATTTGATTGAAAAGGATTTTCGACATTTGATTGATTCAGTTAATCTCATGTCTCGCGTATCTTTTCCGCTCGTATTAAAAAAAATGTCGATTCCATTTAAGATATACTTAATCAATCTTCAAATATCCTTGACAATTCGATTTACTAAACTTCGATGTTCGCATTTTCATTCTTTTCTTTAAATTATCGTACTTTCTGAGATAAATCCATTTATAGATGAAAAACAGGCCACCCTTTAATAACTTACAGTTATACAGAATGGCCCACTCTAATTTATAAATGCAATTACCTCTCGAACTGTTCGTTATTCGCCAAAATGTTTCAAACGGGACTTGTTCTATTTCGAGGGGAAATAATTGTAATGTTAGTTTCTTTATAGGTGGACGTGTAAAGAATAAATGAAAACCAAATTCATTTTTTTTTTCATGAAAATTATATTTTTTTTATTTATCAAGAGGCTAGTCTTTATCTATACAGAAATATTAAACTATTTATGTAAAATAACTATTAATTTAAGAGATATTTTAATTTCAATTAAAATATTTCCTAAATTAATAATCATTATAGTTTAATATTTTTTTGTACAAATAAAGATGTGTTGCCATCGACTGATAAATTAAAAAATATACAATTTCATTAAGAAAGAAAAGAAAAACGAATTTGGTAACGTCGACCTACAAAAAGATTATTTCCATTGAATTACTTTCCCTTCAAAACGGATCCAATTAAAAAATTTTTCGAATGGCAAACAATTCGGGAGGAAATTGTGTTTATAGATTAAAATGAGTCACCCTGTATCGTACATTGTACTTTTTACTCTACTACAACGCTATTTCCTTTTTCTGTGTTGAACAAACTTAATACTCGATTTTGTATAAAAAATTCTCCTTTGCATAATGTGAAAGAAGAAAGACATCTTCGTATAAAGCATCATCTAACAGGCAAGCAGTATAGCAACATAAATGCATAGATTGTTCTTATTTTTGTCTAGTAGGAGAAGTTATAGTCGGATACCGAAACTACTTAATTGTAATATTCAAAGGTCGTTTAACTAATGATCATTATAAAAGAATCAGTGTGCAGCATGCAAAGTAAGCTTACTACATACTAGGTTAAGTGGATACATATATTATTATACATACCCATGGCCAGACCATCATCATTTTTGTTATTTACATGGAAGATGACTACATAATGATTTTTGCATAAAAAAAGAATGCTTCAAAATAAGTAAATCAATAATGAATGTATGAATTCATGTACGTTATTCGAGTATCACTATTATAACCCAGGTGTTCGATACAGTTTGAAAGTTTTTTTTTAATAAATTTAAATATGTTACATGGGTGATGTCAAACTGTATCAACTGTTATATAGTATGAATTTTATCTGAAACTTTTTAATGATAATTTAACATGTATTCTACTAAGAATCGAGGACTGTATAAAACGCTTGATAAATAAATGTTATTTAATGAAGCAAACAGTCGCATTTGTCTTTAAAGAGCATTTACAGTCGTTCAAGCAGTAATTTTTTTATGATAATTGCCTTTCACTACCATTGTTTGTGCAGTCGGTCGCAGAGGTATCTTTGCAACCATTGATCTCAAACCATTTGTATTTTTTTATATTTTTATTAATTGATATTGGTTAACAAACGATAGTTTAATATAACATAACCAAAACTTTCAGGAAATTAACAGTATTTGACCAGAATAATAAAAAAAACAATGTTAAACATTATCTTCGTTGTTTCATTAATGCAATGTTTATGTTACTTAGATAATATATATAAATATTCATAAAATGTATCTATTTGTTGATTTGTATATTTTTCGAAACGAAGAAGCAAAGCAAAGGTAAAACAAAAGTATTGAAAACACGAACTTTCAAAGTTTGAGACTTAGAAATTTGAAATCACATAAATCGAGAATGCGTTTCAAATTTAATTTATATTAAATCGAGACTTTATTATTGAATCGGTTTTAATGCTTCGTTCCTATTAATTTGCAGAAAATTTACAAGGAATATGTTATATTATTTCTATTTACCTTGGAAAATTATCAAATGTTTGACATCTATAGCTGGTAAAATACAAATACTTTTGACTCGCTGCTTGGAATGTCACTTAATTCATATTTTGTACATATGAAATATTGAAATATGTTTATTCAGAAATGAAAATTGTAAACAGTGTTTTTTTTTAACAAAAATATTTAAATAATATACACGTACAAAAAAGTATATACACTTTTTTTTGAGCAAAATTGAGCGTACAATTAGAAAGCTACGCAAACAAATAAATATATCTAAATAGATATGTATAGATAGTGTTAATTAATTGATTGATCGGTCTAATTAAGTTCGACTGTAGTAATATTATTATGTTTTACAATTTTCAATAAAAACTGTCTAATCAGTCGTTAAATTAGTATTATTAATAATTTATATACAGAATTACATGTTATTATGTTACTAATTTAATACAATTATAGCTTTTCTTTTATTGTCTCATTTTCTGTTTCACCATTCCAGTAAACCTAATATTTTTTTATAGAAAGATAACTGATGTAATATTAATCGAAATAAAAATTAAAAGATTATATGAAAGTCCCAATTTGTACGCTCAATTTTCTATCAATACAATATTTGTAAATATTAAACAATAGTTACAAATATCGATGAGAAAGAAATGCTGTTTTATTTTTTATACTAAATATTTCTCGTATCTCGAAAAACGAGTGTATTTTTATTAACGTACCCTCAATTTTGTGATTAATTGTACGAAACCTACCATACAAGGTTGAATTGATTCACAAGAATAGAGATGTGCGAATTTTGTTAATAATATCAATTTGTAAATATCGAAGTAAAATAAATACTTCAGCGTTATTAAGTAAACTATAATAATTAGTATCACGTAATGTCTGTTAAAGCATTTCTAATAAACATCCTTCAGAGTAAAATGTGTACATTATACATATCCATACATATACGTGGTGTATTATATATATTTATAGTGTATTATGTATAAAGCACATCTTAGATCTGTATTCGAAGAACAACGATTTTTGTTATTGTGTACTGTTACGATAATAAGAATAATTCTGTTTTCTTTTTAAACATATGAAACAAGAGCTATAAATGTTTTTAGTGACTATAATATTAGTGCTCCGTTTTCGGCTAAAAGGTTTTAGGTAGCTACAGGCAAAAAACATAGAACAAACAGTTTTGCAAGTGCAAAATAACGGTTGATAACAGCTTGCCTGAGGGGATTCCTATACTGTGCTCCTATGGTGTCTGCCGTAGTATACAGGTGCTGTAACCACAGAACACACTGACGTATTGTGCCCTTCTACTTAAAATCTATATCTGCGCACACAGCTTAATTGCACAAAGAGTATTTATCGCAAGCTCTACAATATATGCATAACGTTCGATTAATAAAACTCTAACTTTATTCAAAGAATACACGACGTATCTAGTATATCTTTCAAACGTTCCGTATTCCTGTTATTGCGAACATTATCTTTGGCCCAATACCGTAGCAAACCAGAGAACAGTCGGCGAACTCCGTTAAAGGTTTCAATAATAAAATTCACCGAGCGTTTCACGTTGTACAAAGATTTTAAGTATCGGTGTTTAAAAAAATGTAGAACGTAAAGATTTTCGGTTTTATTTTCGTACAGCGGAATCGTCTATTCTACGATTCGTTTCTGTATACTTGTTAATTTTGCGTCGCGTGAATTAACGAACGCAATATTTACACAATGCTGGTCGTAGCGTAGGGACAGTACCGTTGGAAAACAAATTTTAACAGTTGTAGAATTTTGTTGAAGCGAGATATATATTTTTGTCTTTTTTTATTATTAATTGTGCAAATCACTACGTTCTACATTACTTGAATTTACACCACGTTTAATTACCCGAGCTTGAGAGCCTGGCCGCCAGCGCGGAGGCCCTCTTCACCCAAGAGAGTGACTTGTTCTTCCTCACGGCTGGGGTCTGCCATCTGCGACACGACACCTCCATGCTCAGCCTGGCAACAGACACATGTCACCTCTCTTTTGCCCTATCTCCCGATTTGTTTAATTCTTTTCATTAATAAGTTTATCACACTCACCAATCTGAATACAGATGGTCGTTAGAAAATTCGGTAAAGGGATAGAGAAATCGGATATATGGATTTTTTACAGGACTTGACAACAATACGATAATTATAAACTTTAAAAATTAAAGATAATCATCCAAAGTCTATCTAATACTTTATCTTACTGTGTTCTAGCTAATAATGAGAAATAAAATTTTTTTACATTTCATCCTTGAACGTAATATGGAAACAATAGATAACAAGAGCAATTACATACATATGATTTGTATAATGTAAATCAAATCGTTTCTCGTTGGTTACACCAAGAACAAACGCATATTACAACTAAGATTGCCACCTTTTTGATTCTTTTTTTTTTTATCGAATTTTTAGCTGAAAGTAATCGTTACGTTTTCCGTTCCCCCTGGCCCTAGAAACATTAAACTTTTTAAAGTTTTGCACATTATTCTTAAAAATATCTGGAAATTGTGTTCGGTTTCATTACAATGCAGAGTGTACATCCTGACATGCCGATGTACTGTGTTTAAGACACGTTCGATTATTTCATTGATGTATGTTGTAAACGAAACTTGATGTGTTTTGAACAAGTAGCAAATTAAAATGAAAAGTTTAGTTAATCAAACTAATCCTTCTGTTTCACTTTTTTATTTACCAAAAAGCTTGTAGCATTTTATGTAATAATAAACTCAAGCATTGTTCAATGTCGACAAACATTTTAATAAATATAAAACTTGCGTATAAAACGGTAATGACTTTTAGAAAGATGGATGTGTGGCGTCGCCACCAGAGGGTCCGCGCTCTCACAAGCGCTCGACCAATCCCTCGATTGCTATATACAGAGTGTTCGACCACCCCTAGAAAAATTTTAATGGAGGATTCTAGAGGCCAAAATAAGACGAAAATCAAGAATACTAAATTATTGATGGAGGCTTCGTTAAAAAGTTATTAACGTTCAAAGTTCTACCCGTACTGAATTTTTTTCTCGAAAATGCGCAGGATTTTGGGGGTATGTCTACTCACCAAAAATGATTGTAACTGACCCCCGCAACCGAAAATAATTTTTCCAAAACGATTTGAAATTTTTTTTTTCGGTCGAAAAATTCCACACCTTCTCGAATTTTTTTCTCGAAAATGCGCAGGATTTCGGGGATAATTGTAATGACCAAAAATGATTGTAATTGACCCCCGCAACCGAAAATAATTTTTCCTCCTACGATTCTCAACAAAAAATGATCACCGTATCCACGATCGATATAAAATATAAAAATTAACTGTTGCTTGTTCAAAACAGATGAAGTTTTGTTTCTTTTTTATATTGTCTCAGGTGCCTAAAAGATCGTGCGTACCGCTACGATATATATGTTGTATACCTGAACAGGGTGTTAATAAAAACATGAAACATTTTTCCAAGATCAATTCTACGTGTCACAGTAACGAAAAATGTTCATATACACGTACGCCCGATAAACGGCGTTTGTTAGTCGCAGGCAATTCCCCGAAATACAAACAGAGACGTCTACGAAACTCCAACGCGTCTTACGCCAACCCAAATTGCTACACTCGTTACGTAAGAATTAAGAAAACATCAAACACGAAAAAAAGTACAGGCAAAAAGAACATGATCCGGATAGGGGGCTTGCAACATTTGGGCAAAAAACGCAGATATTTTAATACCATGCGAAAGTTAGAACGTTCAACTTTCTAGACAAACTGTCTTATAGTGCACCTGCAAATGTGTCCACGGTCCGTTGTCCATATTTTTCGAAATTTGATCGTGCTAACCTGTTGTCGACGACCTTCCGTTGACTGACCATGAAAATTGTAGAAGGACGGTTAACAAACAATTTCGAAACGATTCTGTTTTTTTAACAGACACTAGTCAAACTATTTTGGGGAACATTAACTATACAGCACAGCGATTATGGATGTAAATAATGAATAGTGAGCGTTCGAAAGAAGGATACAATTCAGTATGCATTGGAACAATAGTTCTTAACCTCTTCTTTTCGTTTATTCATAAAAAAAACATCGCAGTAATATGGCAGTCAACGTGTCAAGTGCTTACAAATTTTTTTCCAGCATTTTTTCTGTGTTGTTGTGTTTTCATATCACGCTTCTATGACTAGAATATCGCAGGATTATTGTAATAAATTATACGTATGTGTGTATCGAAAGGAAAACAATCCAAACACACATTTTTAAGCGAGTGGTAGGTTTTTCGTGTTAAAGCAAATCTTGGACAACTGCGAGAAACACGAGACCGAAGTCTCACAATTATAAAAATAGTTCCCAGTTCCCAGAAAGATAAATAAGAATAGCACAATGTGAAACTTATTTATTTACAACAATTTGTAATCCAGTTCAATCGCACACCAGTCGTATAATCGATAGGAATTGCTGAAAACTTCTTTAAGTATAAAACTAGTTATACTCATCGGATAGAGAATGAAGAGCCCTTTAAAATGAAACTGGTTTCAAGTCGATAGTGTAATTAGTTTCGGAGATATAAGGGTTCGAAATCGACAACAGCGAGAGGTCATTGAACTCTCGCGTAAATAGTAAACAATGCGCAGTAAGCGCGGCGCGCTAGACGCAGACAGAGAGAGTCAAATTAAAAAAATTATCCCTCCACATAAATTACGATATCTCCAAAATGGTAAGTCGGATCGACATAAATAAAAAACCGTTTTAAAGAGGAAGCTTTTCCGCTTCTAACAATGGCTCAATTATACATAAAGCACCAGTAGTTTCTGAACTGCACGCATCTAAATTTTTAGTACTTTTAATACGCGTTAATTGACTTTCCTAACGCGGAGAGCAAGACATAGCGGAATTTTTAAAATTACGCTTTTCTTTACACGATGATATCTCCAAAACGAAAAGTCGGATCGATATAAAACAAAAATCATTTTAAAAGGGAGCCCCTGCCACTTCTAACAGTAGCTCAATCGTGGAGAAAACATTAGTAGTGGGGGTTTTCTGATTAAAGACCAAACACGATACAACTTGGATCACATTTGAGCATTTAACACTCAGGTTTCTCCTACACATGACACACCGTGCCTTCTGTTTGCGTTAAAGCGATAACGAAATGAAAACGGCTCAGAGGATGTATGTATGCATTTCTCGACAGTATTCTACGAGACCTTCAAATGTCAAGTGGTATTCTGTGGCCTGTTGAAATTTACATAACCGTTATTTGAACGTATCGTAACGTTTTGCAATTATCCCGTAACGTTACGATGTCGAAGACGGAAGAGTAATCATCAGAAAATAAAGTTTTTCACGAGCTGATAGTGAAGGTAATAGTGTCAGTAAAATTTCATTTGATGAACCAACCAACCATGAAAATAACCAAAGTGACGAAATTCTAATGGACAATAGAAATCAGTAAAAATAATCAATTATTTTAATAACAATAACTAATATATTTGGCACTCGCGAATACGATTTTATTATACGTGTTTGGTCTCATTTTAATAAAAAAAAACTCTTACAAATACTTTGGTAAAAGTTTCATCTTTGCATTATGAACTCTGTACATATTGTCTCATGGATATTAGAGCCTAGATTAGGTTACTCTGCACGGTCCACACGACGTTGAGCTTCTAGTGTGTCGAGGGGAGTCCCCACGACTACCGTTCGCTTATCCAAACAAAAATGACTCGCAGTTATCCAAGCATTGCTATACTTTCATAGGTGAAAATGTTACGTGTGGGAAGAGTAGGGCAACTGACACATAATGCTACGGGGAGGGTGCTTTTTATCAGGCATTCTTGTTGGGCGTTTTGAGAAATTCAAAAAGCATCTAATCAACACGTCTAGCGTTACCGAACGGATATGTATATAAATTGTTTTCATCATTTGAACGTGTAGAATCGTTTCTGTAAAAGTGTTCCACACGCGTGTTATTAAGTCTCGTTGTGAAAATTTTCATTGAATTCTAGCAAGTTTACGTGTTTTTTTAATTAACGGTTTTCTGGTTTCATTACTAGTACCCCGGATTTAATAACGCGAGAAAGTGACAACCCTAGTTATAATTATTGTAAGTATAGTTATTATTTGTTATAGAAGTCACAGAATTTACGTGAGATTAAATAAGAAACATGTTTCTTTTTGGTTAAAAACAGTTATTCGTACATATTATACATATATCATGTGTATTCTAAGACAATTTTAGTTTTTCTACCAACGTCATTCTAACTAACGAAAGGCAAAATACACGTAGCTAGATATTTAATAAATATGTATGTAATAAATTTATTACCGTTCAATATAATGATACATAACGTAAATAACAATTGGAAATATCGTTAGATGGTCAGACTAGTTGAAAAATAAAAAAATTACTAAATAAATCTCATTTGAATGATACGTAATTAATTTTGAAAATGTAATAATTTATGAGAGGAATTCAGTACCGTAATAATTGTAAAAACTGAATTAGTACAGAGCTCATGCATTTGTGTCCCTAATGTACAGGGTGTATCGAAACACTTGAACGCAAACATAATGAAAAAAATTCACGTAAATATTTATTCTAACGTTTCTACGAACTTTTTTCATTATTTTTGTGTTGCATATTCGCTCTTGGAGCTATGCTCGTATGTCTCGATACACTCCGTAAATTTAGATTAAACCTAAGACGTAACGTAACATTAAATACAGTTTCAAGAACTGTTATCTAATGCATAACGCCTGTAATGTACAGGTTGTACGTCGTGACGGTATCCACGATTGTATATATACAATGTTGATAGTGTAGCAAAGAAAAGTTGTGAAATTATTCAGTTTTCAGTTTTAATACAGATTTTAAACGCGTCCATTTTTCTTGCACAAAAATAAAAATAAAAACGAATCTTTTAAAAGATTTTTAGATATTAGAACGTTCAGGAGTTTTTAACTGATCTGATAGCAATAATTGAAGG